AACACTAGAGATAAACCCGCCAAGATTTGTTAATGCTGGCTTTCCGCTCTTTTCCAGGATCAACGTCTTGGTACATAATGTATGTTGTATTTAAGGTCACTATTTTTTTCAATAAAGAATAACACAAATAGGATAACAGAAAGGGAATGTCCATTTCATCCTTCTCCATGTGGAAATAGGAGCTATAACTTGTTAGTATCAGAAAAATAGGTTATCTTTCCCTTCTCCATTTCAGATAGTCTGTCATATTTGAAAGCTAATAGCTCTCAGGCTCTTACAGCCCATAACTCTCAGAAACATATAAAAATGTCTGCTCTGTGTTTATTTAATCTGTCAATTGTAATGCCAACTTGAGATATTTGGGATTATTATATTTGGTTCACTCATTTGCCTGATGACTATGCAAATAATTGGATTGATACCAAGGTTTATGCTGTGAAAACTGTGGTATGAAAAACAGTATGTAGTCCATTTTTCTATCTTCCTCCATAGGTAGATTTACAAGAAAGCATAAACTGTATGTTTGCTGCAGAGAATTTGTAAGTTCCACATACAGAAGCTGTAGTCACTCATAACTGTACCATCCAGAAATAACTATTATTAACAATTTGGTATCTTTCATTTATATATATACATATGGACATATGCACATACCCACATATGTATGTAGACTATATACACATGCACATTTACTCACATATGTGTGAATATGTAACTACACATACATGAATTTTAAAACAGTTGGCATCATACAGTATGTATTTTGAGATGCTCCCTGTAATGTTATCTGTTACTAGTATTTCTCAATGTCATTAAAATTCCCTGTGGACATCAGTTTCAAATGACTGCATAATTGTATCACATGACCTGATCATAACTTTTTGTTTGCAGTTGTAAGTTTAGTTTTTGTTTTATTTGGTTATCGTGAAACCTCTTTTTTCACTATTCTGATTAACATACATGATTTCATGACATCACATATTATTCGACGTTGTGCTTCTTGCTCATTAAAAAGCCTGAGCATTTGAGAATCTAATTCGGTGTTGTGATACTTATTCATGTGTTTATCCTGAAATATTTCTAAGGAAGAAAATTCTCTAAATGTTACATACCCATTTTAGAAAGTTGCTTTGTTAGCGTCAGTTTGACCTACTTTCATTCAGTTCCTCATGAGATGCAGATTTCTTCTTGTGAGGTAATCAGACTTCTGTGTAGAAAAAGATGGAGAGCTTACTACCTTGTGGGAAAGTATAATACCAAGTAATTACTAAATTATTATAGAATTATACTTGATTACAGCCTAAAGTTAGAGTATGTTTTTAGAATGTATACTTGAGTAATCTAAATGGAAAAGAAAATTCTTCAGTTAAAATCATTATTTTGTTATCTTTTGTTGTTTCTGTTTAAAATAGAAAAAAAACTTCAATGTCTTATCTGAGGAGCTGTCACACACCAGAGGCTACAGTGTGGACATTATATTTATATGTTTTTCTCTCACCAATATCCAGTTTAGAGGAGAAGAAATCTTGAACCCTTTTGGTTGGATATTTGATTTCTGAGCTGGAATTTTTTTTCTAAGCTAGCAAATTTCAGGGTACAAATTGCGTTATTTCTGCCAGCATTCTGGATTTGAAGCATGAGATTTCATCGCTATGATTAAAAGAGCCTTTCCCTGTTCACAACGCAAGTTAAACAAAATCAGCAAGATGATGGAGATAAATGGGCTTGCTCCATAAAGCGCAAGACAAGGGTTCTATTAAGCTAACACTGTTACAAAGTGAGCACAGTGAGATATGGAAGCATAGTGTGCATCATTTTGGGGAACTGTACTATATGTAATATTCATGGAAAAGATGAGCTGTTCTTTGTTCCTTTTATTTTACATGTGCTTGCTCAGCAACTTAGCAGGAATCATAAGTTGGACTAAATGGCTTGAGGCAGTTTTTCTAGGGGCCCTAGATTTATCCTTGATCTGGCAAAAGATTGGAATAGAGAAACTGAGATTAAAAAAAAAAAAGATTAGTTAATGGAGAACCAGAAATGAAGGGTCCAGAGCAGAAAATAAGTTTAAATGTCTTTGGAATTTATTTGGAGGTGAAATAGGATCAATAAATCACTCATGAGTTACTGGGGGATGTGAGGTTTGAAGATGAAAAAAGTATCTTGAATTTACTTATTGTGTGTGTAGAGCCTTAGACTAAGGTAGTGTGATGTTCCTAAAGAAAAGTAGAAAGTTAATAGTAATGACCTGTGTTTCCTTCAGTTGAATTCTTAGCAGTTGCCACATTTGCCTTATCTCTTTCTATGTACTTTTTTGTTCATTTGTTTGTTGTGCATTTGAAAGTATTAATCAGTTTTTGTAAGTTGAATTTGAATATGGCCACTTTACTTAATTCTTATTCATTCTTATCAGTTCAGTTGATTTTGGGGCATTTGTGTAATTAGATTATATCAGCTGCAAATAAAATGATTTTGTTTCTTCTTTTACAATTTTTATGCATCTTTTAAATTTTTTCCTATTTTATTACATTGTCCAGGACTCTAGTGAAGTGTTAAATACTTTCACTGGTAAAATCCTGACTTTAGTGGGAATGCTTTTGGTAGTTCACAGCTAAATACGTGTTAACTTCTCATAGACATTTTTTCCATATTTTTTGGAAACTATTCTCATCATAATTTTCTGAGTATTTTACCAATAATGGTATGATTTTTTTTTTCTTGGAAACAGAGTCTTGCTCTGTTACCCAGGCTAGAGTGCAGTGGCGTGATCTTGGCTCCCTGCAGTTTCTGCCTCCTGAGCTGAAGCAGTTCTCCCACCTCAGACTCACGGGTAGCTGGGACTATGGGTATATGCTACCACACCTGGCTAATTTTAAAATATTTTTTGGTAGAGATAGGGTTTCACCATGTTGCCCAGTCTGGGCATAGAATTTTTATCAGTATTTTGGTTTAATATGTCTGTATAGTGACTAGTAGGCATAGGTTTTTCTTATGACAAGCTAACCTTATATTCTTGAGCTCTAACTTGGTGATATTTTAATTTTTTAATATACTTGAGTACTACTATATTTTAAATAAGTTAATGAATATGGATGCTGTCGTGCCTAATGAAATAGGGGTACATTTAAAAGTATTGCCTATATTTTTATTGTTGACATATTTGCTAAATTAACAGATAGTAAAAATAAAACTATCATCTGGAGGACTATCGAATTCTTTGTTGAAAAGAAGTCCTCATGCTTGCAGTGGTTGACAGTCAGAAATCTAGATACTTAAAAAACATCTTTTCCTCCTCACCCCTTTTCTGATAGTTTTGTATATGGGTATACTGTCTAGAAATAATATTAATCTGCAGATTCTGCAATCCCAGAAATAAGAGGAAATTGAAGAAGTCATCTTCATTGTTCTGTTTCTGCTATCAAAGACTTTCAAGGATAATGACTGTGTTATAGTCTCATGAAGTAACTCATTCTAAAGCTTCACCATACGTTCGTATCTCCTAACTTAGATGTTCTGGGGTATTCTAGTTAGTAGTGTCTTCTGGTATGCTCAGGATTGGTTAAGATGCTTCTTTATTGAATATTTGATACTGTAACTCTTTCTAAGTAGATTAGAATGATACATATAAAATTTAATAATTCTTTGGACAATGGGAGGGGAGTTGTTACCTTTCTAGTAATTGTAAAGGTGAAGTAATCATACAGTAATTGTAAAGGTGAAGAATATTATGTCCCTGAGGCCAGCATGTTGAGTTGTCACATCTCTTTAGTGTGAGGAGGAAGGGATCTAGGTAATCAGATTGGTTCTGATTGTTTCAAACCAAAATGCTGCTGTCATGTTGAGGGGGTTTGGTCTGAGAGTGTTTGTCAGTGCCGGTACTGCCAGTGATTTGCAAGTGATTTGGAAAATGTGTAAAATTTATATATACTGCATTTATAAAGTGCTTAGTGGTAATTCTGAAAATGTTAGTGTTTTGAAAATAGCATTCACCCAGTCATGTGTTTAGAGAAATAGAAATAGTCAAAAGAAAGTTAAAGAAAGTAGTTGACGATGTCATTTACATTTTAGTTCCACTCCCAAGTAGGCTGGCTCTTTTGAAGTTGACTCTTAAAGTCCTAGAATCATTGATCTTACAGCTGAAAGGAACCTGGAGAGCATTGGTTCACAATATGTTTTTTGTTGTTATTGGAACAAATAGTGTGCTAGATGTTAAGTGTTATAAAAATAAAAAAAATATGACTCTTCCCCTTAAAGTCCGGCCTGAAAGACAACCTGAACAAATACTTTACTTTGGGGTAGTAAGTTCTGGAATGGAACCTTTAGGCAGCGGGTAGATTTTCCTAGATGTGGCTCCAGCAGCTTGGGCAAGCAGCCCAGGCGCAAACAGCGCCCCACTGGTGGTGGTGGTGCTGGAACCGGACTCCTGGTCTCTTGATACAAGTCACGTGGAGCTGACCTAGTAAGCTTTGCAAAAGAAAATTTACCAAGCATGCATGTATGCACGTGAGTATGTATGGAAGTATGTACGTATGTATTGATTTGGTACCTTGCTCTGTGCAGTTAACAGCTGTTTTATATGAGATGCATAGACATAGACATTCATATTTACTTTTTTTTTTTTTGAGACGACATGTTACTCTGTTGCTCAGGCTGGAGTGCAGTGGCATAATCTTGGCTCACTGCAGCCTCTGTCTCCCAGGTTCAAGCAATTCTGCTGCCTCAGCCTCCCAGGTTGCTGGGATTACGGGTGCCTGCCACTATGCCCAGCTAATTTTCATATTTTTAAAAGAGATGGGGTTTTGCCATGTTGAGCAGGCTGGTCTCCACTTCTGACCTCAAGTGATCCACCTGCCTTGGCCTCCCAAAGTGCTGGGATTATAGGTGTGAGCCACCGCACCCAGCCAACATTCATACTTTCTTATCCGACATTTTTTGGGGGGTGGGGTACAGGGGTTGGGTGGGGATTCACACTAAACATTTCGAACCAAAGCAATTAATAATTTGAGTAATTTTTAATGTGATTATGTCATGTCATCTGAACCCTATACTCTAACCTCAGGATAAAGGTTTAGATTCTTTTGATGTTACTGTGTCTGTGATCTTGCCTGCTTCTCCTGGCACATCCCTCCCGTGGTGCTCCCTGTATTGCCCCTACCTGGGGTTCTCCTCGCTTACTGTGCTGTTTCTAACCATCATGCTTTGCCCTGAATCTCTCTGAGTCTTTTTCTGCTGTGGACCAAAACTTCATCCTGAGATTCACCTCTGATCTCTCTGGGCAGACTCCCAGAACACTCAGCTGGGATGGGTTGGAGCTGCTTGAGGTGCAGTTCCCTCCGCCTCTGAGTTGCCATCCATGAAAATGCCTCATGTCTGTATGTCCCTATACTGTAGGGCATGTAGCACATTGGTGGATACTTAGTAAATGTTTGTTGAAGAATTCAAGTTTTTAAATTCCCCCTTTCATCAGATAACTAAAAAATGTGTATGCATGGCTGGGTACAGTATCTCAAGCCTGTAATCCCAGCACTTTGGGAGGCCGAGGCGGGTGAATCACCTGAGGTTAGGAGTTTGAGACCAGCCTGACTAACATGGAGAAACCTTGTCTCTACTAAAAATACAAAAATTAGCTGGGCATAGTGGTGGACGCCTGTAATCTCAGTTACTTGGGAGGCTCAGGCAGGAGAATTGCTTGAACCCAAGATGTGGAGGTTGCAGTGAACCGTGATCCCGCCATTGCACTCTAGCGTGGGTGACAGAGTGAGGCTTCATCTCAAAAAAATAAAAATAAAAAAGTGTATGCATATATATATGTATATAAATGTGTTTAATGTTCTAATTATTCTTGTATTATTTTCCATGTAAACATAATGGTTTTGGATTTCAGTTTATTTTTTCTTGGGAGAATACATGTTTTGGAAGATATTAAACCCACCGCATTTATATTGTTCACTGGTAGTATCTTGTTCCAAGCTATTTCTATTGAAACTCTTATTATTAGACCATCACATGGTTATAAACCACTCACAGAATTTGATACTTTGGTGCATCCCATGGATTAAAACATACTTTAAAATTTGACATCTATATATTAGTTAATGTAATCATGATTTTGTTAATGGGGATTTATATCTGCTTTCCAATCTCTGTAGCCATATGAAGTGTAAACTAGCCATTATATTTGCTTCTTTAAATATATATCTGGGAAATGCAACTTCAGACAATTACAATATAAACTAAACCTGGTAACAATTGAATAATGAAACAATGAATTATAATCTATTCAGCTTTTCCCTCCTGTAGAATTATTAATAGATAGTTGGCTATTTGGTATAAAAGTAAAAATATTTTTAAAACCTTGACTTTTGTAAATAAAGGAGAATCTGCAGAAGAAACAATGCATATTAAGTACTGATTGTTTCTTGGTTGTCATAATGGATGGCCTCTCTCTCTCTGTCGTTTTTAAGAAAGCCAAATTACAGGATAGGTAATGTCTTAAAGGATTCTTATCTCAAAAACTAGGATGCCCAGATCTAAAGGGGCTTGCTGAGATACTGGGTGGGTAAATAAAGCTCAGCAAATCATAATCATCTTTGGATTCTCAGTCATGTTATGTAAGTGGTCATACAGATGGATTTTTAACTCTGATTTTCCTAAGTTGCTTTCCTATCCATTAAACGGTTGGGAAGGTGCTGTCAGATACAGAATAAGAAGAATAGCATGACTGTGACTTTAAGAAGGAAATTAAGTAGGGAGGGAAAATGGGGATGTTGTGACTGCTGACATTTGTGGCCTCCTTTCATTTGCGTAAGAGGTGGACTGGCTTCTCTGTGGCTGCGGTTGCCATGGAGAGGTAGTGGGGGAGGACTTCTAGGAGGCAGCCCATGAGCGAGTCTGCCTTAGAGCTGCTCCTAAATGTGACGTGAAGGGGCAGGGAGCTCAGGTGTGCCGCGGCGGCACAGATAATGGGGATGGCTGACCTGTCATGGCTGGTAACGTGACTGTGCACATACCCCGGGTGTGACAGATATGTTTGTGCAAGTGCCTGTGGATTCCTTATATGAAATGAAAGGATTGTAATGTTGTATGTGTTCCCACCCTTTGATGTGATTTCCTACACTTGATGTGATTTGATGAAAAGAGTTTAAACAATTAAACCAAATGTACACTCTGGTTATAGAAAGAAACTGACTAACTTCAGTCGGCATGTTTGCATGTAGGTAAACGACATCAATAGCAGGGCAAATAAATTTTTGTGGGACAATACACTCAGAAAAATCTAATATGGTAGATTAAACTATAACCAGAAATGACTGTATTACTAAGCTGGTATCATTAATATACAGATATTACAGAGTGGTGTAGCTGGCTTAATAGAAGAAAAATGAAGCAATGAAAGTTAAAAGATTTTTTTCTGCATAATGTAGAAGAAAAGCACTTGCATGTTTTGTAGGTAAAATGTTTATATCTGAAGAGACAGATTTTGAGAATTTTGATAATTATTAGTATATTTTATTGGAAATGCTTTTAAATCAAATAGAAAATTGTTAACGAGTTTGTACTATGATCATTTTATGGCTTTTGTTGACATAATTGGTAAACCGAATATGATGATTATATTTGTCTTTTGTTTTCTTGTGGACAACATTGTGGATATTGCCTTTGTTTAAAAATAAATGTGACTGGTAATTTTAACTTAAATGCCAAGCTACTGTTTAAAAAAATTTTCTAAGTAAAAATTTATTTCTCATGAGGAAATCGTATCATGTATTAAATTTACCCAGTATAAATAAACTTATTTGACTTCTTATTTTTCTGATGAAATTTGAATAGAGCCAAATATTAATATTGTTCTACAGTAGAGTCAGAAATGGTTTAGGTGAAATCATACATTGTAAGGTTGTTAGTCATTGACTGCTTAATGCATATTACAACTTATTTGAATAATAACTAGTTGCTTAAGTTAAATCCGTGAAAAAAAAAATGCCGAATCTTTTCTTTATAAAAATACAGTATTATGTAAAATCTAGGTGATACTATTACATAGTACCACTGAACAGATTTGTAGAACGTACAAATTTATTATGGCATTTACTTGGAAAGTATTACATTAAGTTAAAGTATTTCAGAAATTACTCAATAAATATTGGAGATTATATATATAAAACTATTCCTTTAATGATAATCTTGTGTGGCATCCTAAAACATACTTCTTTTTTATTTGGAATATTGTATATTAAGACTAAATTTCTTTATTTTTTGATTATGATATTTAAATGCATAGACATTTATGAGTTATTAGGTACAGATATTGTTGAAATTAAATGTTTCATTATTTTTCTTAATTTTCAAATTAATTCTAAGTTACATTTATTCAGCAAAAAAGCCAAAATTGGTTTTCTTGTTTTGCAATTACTTATGCAAGTCAAAAGGCTATGGGGAATAAAATATTTGAGTATTTGTTAGATAATAATAAGTAATGTTTAATGAGTGTCAACTGCATGCTGAGTGCTACTCCAAACTTGCTTGCTTTTTCTGAATCTCATGCAACTTTGTGAGGTAGGTACTATTTTCTAACCCATTTACAGATGAGGAAACTTCAGTTCAGATTGTAAGGTCATTTGCCCAATGCCATAAAGATAAGAAAAGGGTAGACTAGGATTTGGACTGAGAGAAGTTTTTAACCCCCACACATTACTGTTTTTTGCATATTAAAAGTAAAGTATAGTGTGGTCATAGTGGGAAAAGCTTTCTGTTCAGGTGTTCTGGGATGAAATCCCAGCTTTCCATGTCTTAGCTGAGTGACTGAAGTTACACCTCTTCATGCCTTAGTTTTCTCACAGCTACTTACTAGAAGAATACATGTGAGTACTTTTATTCTAGTGCTAAATATGAAGATTCCCCCTGTAGTAGTAGTTATTGCTAGCATGTATTATTATTCATGATTTTAAAATACAGTATGTTAATTTAAATTATGTTCTGATTGGAAACAGTTAATAGAATAGAAGGAATAAAGAGGCTATGATTAAAGTAATATTGAATACTTTTTCAGTTATCATTAAAGTATTTGTTGATTTCTAGCAGAATTTCTCAACCTGAGCTCTATTTATGATTTGGCCTGGATAATTCTTCGTCTTGGGGGCTGCCCTGTGCATCACGGGATATTTGACAGAATCCCTGGCCTGTACCTACTAGATGCTACTTGCAATCTTTCTCCCTCAGTTGTAACCCAAGATGTCTCCAGGCATTGCCAAATGTCTTTTCGGGGGCAAAATCACCCCAACCTAAAAACCACTAGTGGAGTTATATGGCATTGAACAAGATTGGGATGAGGACATTGGTAGGGAGGGCTAAGATGAAGATGCTCTAAGATACTAGAGGGAGGGAGGAACTGGCTCTTGTTGGCAGGTGTCGCTGCATATGGAACGTTGGTTGGAAGGCAGGGAAGGGCAGGAGCAGATGCCATGCAGAGGGCTGCAAAGAGGCAGAGGTCTTGGGAAGAGAAGGGGTTTGGATCTGAGTAGCTGAGGTGGGCAGCTTGGAGAGGTTTTTGGAGGAAAAATGAGAGGACTTGGGGATTGCCAGAGATTACACATTTGACAGGACGGAATAAAGAACAGTGGAGGTTTTGAGAGTGGTCACTGGGCAGTCGGCGAGACTGACTCTCCAACCAAGAGGAACCTCCTGTGTGCTGCTGGCTTCGCCATGCACGAGATTCATGTTTTTCTTAGCAGTGGTAGAAATCATTGCATGTCCTGGACCTTCATGAGCACTGCAAACCTTGGGTCTTAAGTCTAGGACTGCCAGGTGACTTCCATATTTAAAACTTCCATGATTTGCCTTGGTTTGAATATTAGATGTGATCTTGGGAAATGAGAGATCTCAGATTTTGACAAGGAGCATGCCTTGGCATAATACATAATATTCTCTCTTCCTGGATTCTTGCTTTGCTGCTTGCTCCTACCCAGTTTTCTGGCCTTGACTCTGGAGCTTTCTTCTGTAATGCATCTACTTGTAAATAATTCATTGGACACCAAATAAATATTTTTTTATTTAATGTGACTCAATGTTGTTGAGTCACAATTTTGGAGTTTACAGATTTCTGGAAGCAGTGCATCCTTATAGTGGGAACAGTGTATGTACCATAAATTTTGTAAATGATAATGATTAAGTATTCCAGCCCCTTTCTGTGGTACGACATTCAGGGAAACCAGATGAAATTTCTTTCTTTCTCAGCAAATAACCTCAGCAGGCTGTTTTGGGGGGGCTATTTCATTATGGTCATCATAAGAAGAACTTAATGATCATTTGTTAACAGCAGTGGGTAACATCACCACGAGTTGTAATTGCAATTTAAATGATAGTATTATAAGACACTTTTAGTGTGAATTATTTCAGTAGTCGTGATAAAACCTTTTTTTATTCTGCAAAACTATGTTGGTGAAATTGTATGTATCTGCATGTGTCTGTCTGTGATTTCTGCCATAGTAAAATGGACCTTCAGTTTTGAGCCAGAACTGAGAGCTCTTGGTTCTGAGGGCTAGCCTAAGAGAAGACAAAAGAGAAGAGAAGGGAGAGGCTACCTTTCCCGACAGCTTCATGGAGTTTTCATTTTTTGTGTCCGCCCCCACCCCATACACGCGCACATTTCCATTCCACTTCTGTGGCTCAGTTAGATTAGTTATGGGCTGCTGGATTTCTCTCCGCAAAAGGAATTTTTCAATTTGGTTTTCCATCCTGACTTTCCAGTGGGCCTTCATGAAGCAGTCAAGGCATTTTCAGTATGTTCTTTTCCTCCAAGAGATACGAATCCAGCCATATTGAGTACATACAGTGTTTCTAGGGCTGCACGCATACCGTGGGGTTGGCTCTTCTGTCTTCAGGTAGCTGGAACATCTCAGATGGAAAAGAGATTCACATGTAATAGATAATTTAAGGCCCAAATAAGACCTACATCATGTTGGACAAAAGGTCTGTGCAGCGTTTAGGGAGGCAAGAAACTGTTAATTTCCTGGAGTCATTAGGAGGTGTTTCTGAGAGTCGGGATTAAAGCATATCATGAAAAACTGGTGGGTTATGGATAAATGTTGGGGCCTGGGATAGCAGAATAACTATGACAGATTCTGATCATGGCATTTGATTTTAGAGGGTGATACGGACATGAAACAGGCAATGTCACATACATACATTTAACGCACGAAGAGGTGGGATGCTGTTGGTGCACTCTGGAATGCTCCCAGTTAGCATCAGGAGAGGGCTTCAAGAATGTGCGACATCGATGCTCACACATGAAAGATGAGAAGTTGTCAGGTTGGGCAGGATGCCCTTTAGATGCACAAGAGAATACGGGGGGTGGCGTAGCGTAGCACCGTACTAACAACTTCATGTTCTGAAGGCAGTCTGCCTGGGTTCAAGCTGGCTCTTCTGACGGGCTCTATGAATTCATTTCTGTGTGCCACTGTTTGCTCTTCTGTAAAATGGAGGTCAAGGGTGGTCTCCTTCTCTCAGGTGGGCATTTTTTTGTGGGGTGTGTGTATGAGGATTGAATGGTTGTTACCATATAATAACTGAAAACAGCTGTAAGTCCAGTTTTATTTTAGTGTGTTTTCTCCGTGATTTGCCTAACTTGGTTTCTATGATACAGTTAGTTTCTGCAAATGGCAGCAGCTGATAAATGATCAGAAAGCTATTTTTGGTTTGACTGGTTCATATGTAGATATTAAGTCCTCAGAACAGTGCTCAGTACATAGGAAGCTGTTGCTATTGGACTTCCCCAGTAGGGCCTGAAATGCCAGGGTGTGACTGTAAAGAGAATGAGGGCTTCCCAGACAGGTGTATGGGAACACTGGGGAGGCGATTCTCACGAGAAGGAACACCAGGAGCTTGAGGCAGCGGTCGGGGAAGGCAAGCTGTGTGCTGTGGGCATGCCTAAAAGGCAGTGTTGTTCATTCAAGAGGAGAATTTTCAAGGGGAGGGATTCTTATGCTGGATC